TTTACAAAGATATCTCGAGATCATGTTGCATCGCGTATTATTTAGAAGATGTAGTTTCCTATCTGACATACAACGGAATACCGAGATATTGATACCGAAGTTGAAAGTGTAGGAATTTACTGTAGATAGTAAAATAGAGTTGAAGTACATTTTGTTACGAAGAGCAATAAGTTCAGAATGTAAGTACGCGCATCAGAGCCCTTTATCCTCGATATCGTGTTGAACGTTGTTCAATTTTCATCATGATAATAAAAGCGTACGTAACGAATAACTTTCTTAAGCATTGATTATATTTCGTGTAAAGGGCATATACATTTTCGACGCAAGTGTGTCGCGAAATATACGCGAGGAGACTCATTGCGAGCAACAATGTATATAATCAACTGCAATCATATAATTCGCTGCCATGCATGCAATCGATGTATTAGTCCTCTTTGACGGAATTGCTGATAAGTTCTGATTAAAGGAGAAAAAAAAAAAACAAAATACATTATTGATTATCCATAAAATTCATATTTCACGATTTATCTTCGTTTGCATCACATGTTCACGCAATGCTTTTATACTTCAATCGACTATAGATACATGAGGAGAACTTTTGCGTTTTACATAAATCTTCCTAAATATTTTCCTAAGTTTTTAAAAACGAAACACAGTATTCCTATATGGTATTCCGAAATAAATGTAGTATTCCTATAGTATTCCGAAATATAGTATTCTTCAATCGCCGAAACGATTTCGTTCTCACAGTGATTGTTGTGTGCAATTGCAAGGACAAGTATTTGAATTTGCCATTTGAAATTGAAGCAAAATTACCATATACGTGATCACCGTACTAAGAATCTAATAACGAGAAGCAAATATCAAACACTATGACTATTTACTACATGCCATCAGATTAATTAAATTATTCAGCCATTTTTTGCTCACCGATTTAAAAAGCATATTGTTTAAAGTGAAGTATCCGTTTACTGTAAACTTTATTTTCCGATGTAACAACTGAAGTGAAAATTGTTCAAGCTAAAAAACGTTGCAACGTTAGACAATGGAAACATCAAAACGATTACACTGCTTGAGTATCATTTACCTCTTCTTTTATTTGTCGATCTATCGTATACTTTAATAATACATGTACAAGATTCCCAGTTTTCTGGATCTGCAAAAAATCCACTAATTGTGAGTCATCTAGAATAATTATTTTCAAGGAGAATAATGTTCAAACGCCTACCTCGTTTGTAGCTTTGGTAATCTTGAAAGTTAATAAACCAAGAGGATACAATATGAAAATTATCCAAAGCACGGAATTTAGCAGGATCGTCAAATTTGTTGCTACATTTTGAACCGTGATCGGTCCGAAAAGGTAATAAACATTGTACAACAACACGAAGAACGTAAAAGGAAGTGCAAAAAGAGTAGGCAAAGAATATATTCGTGAAATTTCATTGGAAATATCATAAAGCTGATCGTGAATGTCTCGAATTTGGACAACAAGATGAATCATCGAAGAGCTAATAAACATATGTCGAGCCTGATAAAACGCAGTATTATTGAACTTAGTTCGACCAAGGTCTTGTATAGCGCAATTTACATTTACAGAAATTGCATTCGTTAAAGTAACCAAAGAGAAATATTGAATAAAAAAAAATCCCATAAAAGTTATGGGTAAGATATCTGCGACGATTGAAATAGGATTGTTAAAACATATAAGTTCAGTAATCAGAAGAGCAAGAAACAAACCCAAGAATGACAAATAAACAAAAAATAAAACGTAAAAAATGTGTTTCCAATTGAGCGGTTGTTGCAATCGACATAAAGCATCCTCAAGACAAATTACATAATTTCCGACTTTTACGAAAGCTGCCTCGTTTATACAATAACATATTAAGATCCAGGAAATTACGAAAGTACCCATCAACGCTTGAGAAATTTCGAATATTTGTGTTATAATTGTTTTGAAGGCATATTCCATGACGTATAACATTGGTATTGTGATGAAATTCGACGCGATTACTAGACAACTCCAAATCAAATTGTAAAATACTCCAAGTTTAGACCTGGTAAAAAATACGGGCACGTTTCTCGAGCACTTTTTCTTCGAAACTGTTTGAGTTTTTAAGGAGAACGTCGCAAGACCGATGAATTTAAAAAAGAGTAAAAATAACAAAATCACTCGATTCCTATTTCGAGGCCAATGTAATTTGCTTGACATCCTTCGTGCTTGATGTTCGAAAAATATGAACTTGAGATACTCTGAAGAATATATATTTATATTACACTTATTTTTAAATGAACATGGAATTCGTGAACAATGCACTTTCTCTTTTTTTCTTGTATATGCAATAACTAAATATCACTTTATTTTTAATTTACTGGTTCCGTGTTTCAACATTTGATTTACGAAAAACAATTGTTGCATTTCTAATGATACAAAAACGTAAGTGCAACAATTTTACGACAACCGTCTGTTTTATAGTTCTGCGTGACAAAAACAACATTAAATATTAAATCGCATTACAAGTACATGCAATTATTTTGCATGCAATAAACTATGCTGTTTATTGCTAGTACTGCATACACGATCGATACTACTTGAATAAAATTCTAACACTTATAAATATAAAGATTACTTTGATAAAAATTATATGAAAAATTTATAAAAGCTCTAGAAGAGCCATAAAAAACTATAAGTTTTTTATTCAAAATATTTGCTTCTTGACATTTAAAAGAAACATTTCTTTCGTAACTATAAATGTTTATATTACATATTAAATTTATAATATGTAACGTACTTATTCATTTTTTTAAAGAATATGTAATAAATCTTAACTTATTTCTTAAAAAGAAAAGATATTAACTAATTAAAAATATAATGTAAACCTTGGAACAGAAAATATTTCTTCATCGTTTTCGTTTTCAATACACTTTAAAGGCATTTTTTTCGAATTAATATAAAAGGAAAATAAAATGCACACAAAGAAGTAAATAAATAGGAATGGATTTCTTATCATTTGACAAAAAAGAATACATCAATTTGTTTTTATTAACAATATCACTTTTACAGCACTCTTTTTTCGACAAATGTTTACAAAAGTACATTATATTATTAGGATAGCTATTGTGCTTAATTTAAATATAATATACTCATAAAGAAATAACGAAACTATTATAGTGCATTAAATCATAAACGATACTGAATACAAATAAATTGTCTATTTTTTTATCTTTAACTCATATAAAAATGTAATTTATAATTTACAATCGTAATTTTGTAACCATTAGTTCAAGGAATTTTTGCCCCAAAAATTTTACTTAGAACACTTCAAATTACTTACAAGTTACAATGAAAAAATTCAGAAATTCAAAAATTACTATTTTTCTAATTTGTACAATCCAGTAATGGTAACAGCTTTATAAACATGTCTCAATTGTTAGAAAATGTTTAATTCATATACAATATTTCATACAAATAAATGATAAGTATTTTCTTATTTTTAAATGATTGTTCAAATTGTGCCTTTAAAGTGCCATGAAAACGCAATTGAAAATGTGAATCTTTAATTTCAATAAGTATTATTAAAATTCTAGTTTGAAACCAATAAATCATATAATTAATTATAAATCTCTACGACATATTATATCTCTGAATTTTGCATATAGGGGAGTATTACAGTTTCCAACTTTTCCTTCTTTTATATATACATTGGTATCTGGTGTTACTTAAGTAGACAAGTTTAGTGTAACGTGAAGACACTCATATAATCTTTAGAAATATTTTCTTTTTTGGTATTGCCTGACGACACAAAAGGAATTTTAATTATTAAAGAAATGTGTCAGATAGAGTAAATAATTATGACGTCTATCCTAAATCTTAAGTATTCTATAATTAAAAAATTTTTTTTAACATTCTTAACAGAGTAAAAACTGTTTGTCAATATAGTGGGCTTCCTGATTTATAGATATTGCGAGGAAAAGGAGACATGATAACAAAAAAATATAGTGTCCAAAATTTATCCAAAAGTGATATTCAAGTGCGAAATAATTAATTCTTTTTTAACTTTAAGACACTCGCGTAGTATAACGTACTACATTAGTACAAAAAAAAAATTAATTATGATCTTCATATTGTCAAATACAAAAAGTTATTATATTACTTGGCCTCTGATTCTTTTGGAGTTTCATTCCATGTAGGCACTTCCGATTTAACTGCAACAGATGTATCTGTATCTGGATGATTACCACTTTCATCAGCAGGTGAATCTTCTGATACAACTGCATCTAGAAGTTTTATTTCTTATACGAATATTCTTTTATGAAACAGTTATATTTTCTACACTTGTTTAAGATATTGATTATCATGCTACTGTATAATTATATTAATAAAATCTTTACATATAAAATAATTTATTTAATAATCAAAACCAATACAACAATCAACATGGACGATATAATTATAATTTTATATATGTACCTGGGCAAGCGGGATCAGACATTAAAGAAAATACTTTTTCTTCAGGCATATCCTTTGTTAACTCTTTAAAATGGACTACTTGATCCGAAAACGATTGCCAAAATGATTGCCCTTCGGGTATGGTAAACATAGCCTATATGTTTGAAAGGTAAAATAAGATACATAAATAAAACATATAATTATAAACAAATAAAACAGAAAAAGTAATCACATATTAAATGTTTTATGCATGTACCAATCATATATATTATACGCACATCTTAAATATGTATGGTTAAACATAATTACCTTAAACTTGTTGTATATATGTTCAGATTTTTGTCTAATTTGTTCTGCCTTTTGTTTGAAAACAGCCTATAAATAAATTTCGAGAAAGAATGTAAAAAATATTATAGAAATTGTAATTTATTTTTAAAGAATGAAAAAAAAATTACCTCCTCTTCATCGTTTAATTTCCAATCGGCTAAATTACCAATATATCGACGCAACTGAAAATTATCAATAATTAATTAATGCTAGGTTAATAAGAAATAATTGAAGAGGTAATTAATGAATGCTAATGATTCATTAATTAACGCTAGAGCGCTAAGAAATATTCGTTTACCCTTTTAACGGTTCCCACAATATGAGGATGTTTTTTCAACATTAAAGGATCAATTGAAAGTGATAACATATCATCCATCGCTTGTAAACACTTATCGGGATATGCTCGATCTAATCCGAGATTAGATTTAATTTGAGCATCCAACTGTAAAAGTTGTGCTTCTATACGAAGCCATCTGGAATTAATATCCATATTAAAAATTTAAAAACTTTATTAAAATAATATTACTTTTTGCTTTTATTACCTTAGTTTATTCGTTTTACGATGAAGTGCTCCGTCCTTTGATAACAATCGTTTCTCATCGTCTGGAACATGTACATTAAAATCCAAATAATCTTTTACTTGTTCTGGTAAAATTTCACCACTTTCTAATTGTGCTTTCAATTTCATGGCATTTCTAGCAGTGGACCAATCCCATTGTTTTTGGGCCTTTTCACTTTCAAAAGATTTTGGTTTATCCATGTCCAATTTGATTCCTACATATTCACCAGCAAATGTTAAAGCCAACAGAAGTCGTCCAGGGGTGTCTGATGATGTAGTACCAGAAACCACAGTACCTTCCAATATAGGTGCTTCATCTAAATTATTTTTTTCTGTATGTGAAATGTATGATATTTAAATTTAAATAACTCAATATTAATATACATGTGTAATTTCTGTATACTTACTTTCCATAGTAACTCTTTTTTTATGCATTGCACTAGGTGTTACTTGATCAGTAGAATCTTCAATTTTAGCTTTAGAACGACCTCTTCCATGTTCTATAATGTATAAAACTTGTTAATAAAAATTAGAAAACACTAGGTATTGATACGTACTACCTTTATCTGTTGTGTTATCTGTCTCTTCTGAGCTTGAAAAATCAGCAAACCGTTTGGGTTTAATTTTTCTACCGCTACGACTTACAACTTCTTTTGGTGATTCCTCTCCTTGAGAATCTAATGCTTCTTGTCTCACTGAATCACTTGTAGATGCAGATAGAGACTTCGCTTTTCCACGTCTCTTTTTTACCTCAGGTCTATCCTAATGTTTCAGAATTTTTTAATATAACATGATATAATATAGTAAACTTTATTCTTAGAGTGAAAATTTTATATAAATGTAAGGAACGATCGCACAAAATATTCAATCTTGATAAATATTTGTCGGCAATTCTTAAGTTACTATCGGAGTACTCAATTCAATAATTGTTTTCTTATACAATATTGCAATTAAGAGTAAAACCTCCTAAATATTGTATACAGGGTTAAATGTATGTATAACTAAAGATAAATAAAAAAAAAATGTATATTACTGCAGCAGAAAAGGTCTTCCTCTTCATAGGTTTCTTTTTCTGCTCCTCAATAACAAGGCCTGTTTCTATATCGCTGTCTGCAGCACTGACTGTTGGTAAATTTGTATCACCTTCCTTAGCTGCTTCATCACCAATTCCAGCTTCTTTAATTATATGAAAATTATAGATAAAAATATTTTATATAGTTAAATTGTATATATTATATTTACCTTTAAGATCATCAAGATTTGATGCTTTATTTCGGTCATTTTTAAGTTCTTGCTCTAATTGTATTAAACCTTCATGAAAAAACTTCCTTCTGAGTGGTTTGCCAAATTTTGCTTTATTTTCTATATAAGTGTATAACTCTTCCACTTTGCATACAGCTCTAAAATAAAATATTTAAAATATTATTGTCATCTGTTGCCTTTAGTGATATTATAATGTTTCAGATATTTAACTTACGTTTCCCCAGTGCCATAGAAGTAAACACTATACTTTGAATTTTTTGAATTAGGATCAATAACTCTTTCAACCTGAAAAGAAGAGAATGATGAAATCTTGTGATATGTTTTTCTATGCAAAATAACTATGATATAAACTTATCGATGTATTTCAATGAAAACTATATCCAAGTAAATCATTTTTTCCTTATTAAAAGTAAAAAAAGAGTATTTTGAAATTAAACAGAAATTATATTATTTTTAACAATATACGATAATCTGTTAAACTAAGAGTGTTTTGACTGTCGTATATAATTATGTCAATATGATTTGAGAATAATGCATTGATATCAATCCAGCTTTAACATACGACAATATACAAAAGACAATAAGATTAAGATTGAAAATGTTACTGTCGCCAATATTCATGCTGTAAATCCTTTGTATTTTTGACAAAATTACAAATAAATAATTCTGAAAAATACAGCTAAACTTACTTTTGCTGGCCACGGTGGATAACCTCGAACTTTTGCGAAAACTTTGTCACCCGCAAAAAATTTCTTGTGAAGCTTCACCATTTTGATGATAAACTTTATCAAGTCAAAAAGTAAACCAAATCCTGTCTTTATTTCTGTTAAACACGACGTACAATAAAGACTGGTTAATTTGAACAAAGAAACATTGAACAAAACATCACGAAAGCCACCATTTGCACGATGTAATATAGAAAACACGCAGAATAAGACGCTGCGCGCCAATTCATGAGTCTTTAGTTACGAATACTCACGAACCCTAAATAATATAGATTGAGAACTCCGTGTAGTAAAATTGAATTGTTCATTGGTTGTCGACTATATCGATAGTGCAATTATTTTTTTTTAACTTTAATCTCTTTATTAAATTATCTAACATACAAAGCAAAATAATTTACTTTGTGCATAAAAAAAATTTTAAATGTATTTTCCTCCTCATTTTTCATGAAGTTTTATATATTTATTGATTATTGAATAGCTAAATGAAAATATATTTTTGTCATATTGAACATCAATTAAAGGAAAACTAAAATTACGAAGATTTTATAAATTAATTCATACATAGATTTTACATAATATCCAGTATCAATGCAGATAATCGGATATTGTCTTTGAAATAATACAGATCTGTTTTAGGTTGCTTTGTGAACACATGAATTACAATTTAATGGATACGGGTTGTCTGTCAAATGTATTAATGTTGATTCGACATTTATTGTAAAGAAAAAAAAAAAAGAATTTTATTGGTACTAAGTGGATATGTGCAATGTTTTTATTGCTGCCAAATACATTTTTCCAAAATTCTCAACTAAAAAACTTAAAAAATCTACTTCGTAAAGTGTAAGTAAAATTCTTTTAATTTGCTTGCGATGCATTGAGAGTTTTCTTTTTCATTTTGTAATTCTTCATTTTTTTATAATATGTATTGCGATTCTTTTTATATACATCTACATACATGCACAGCATATACAGTTGTGCGAAAATTTCAATCTTTCTCATATAATTATACAGCACAATTTTTTCGCGATCATTTCTTTTTTGTGCTTTCTTACTACTGATCATTTTTACGTAAAAACCTAATTCATGGATAATCTTTATTAATATTTACACTACTAATAAAATTCTTTTTTCCTGTAAAATAGAAATTTGTAATATATTAATATTCCGCATACTGAATCTATTTTCTTCTATTTATTAGCATTTGAATCAATTATATGTTTTTTAAATATTTAAGCAGTTTTTTTATCAAAATATCTGCTAGTTTAAAATCTCATGGTATTACTATGGTGTTAAATGATATAAATATATAACAAACAGATGAATATATTATGCACATGGCAGCAATATATGATGTTATAATCAAAGATGCTAGTTCTTGAGAAGCAACGCTTCCTCTGAAGTGTTCAAGTTCAAGAGGCCTGCTGAGGCACAATGAAAGCCATTGTATCAATCACATTGATCGTGCTACTATATGGGATAAACTCAGTACCCATCAGTGCCATTAAAATATGTGCCAGCAGAGGAAAGGATAATGAAAATTTTACCTTAAAACAAAATATAACCAGTGTACCTGAAGATTTACTCAATGACAGTAATATAATTCATACTGCAGTAAGTTCTAATTATATTGTATATTCATAAAAATAATTTGGTCAATAAATGAATTAAACTAAAATAATTAAATTTTTTTATAGAAGAATAATAATATTAAATTTGAAAACTGTATTAATTTTTGTCATGCTTTGTGGCAAGAAGAAAAGACTGCAAATGGAACAAAAATTACCATTTTATCCCAAGGTATATATGCATTCTTTTTTTTTTATTTAATAAATTATAATCTGTCTTTTTGTGTTTGATAATTTAGGTTGTTGGAAACAGTCTGGTGAACAAAAATGTGAAACAACAGAATGCATTGCCCTTCAACGTTCTACTAAAGCATTGAATAATACAAAATTTTGTTGCTGTCATGGAGATTATTGCAATCTTAATATCAACAGTACTAACATCTTATATTCTGAGAATAATGCACATAGTTCTATTTCTGCAGAAGGTAATAAACCAGGTAAATCTCAGTTATATAAAGGACTTTCTGTATCAATTTCATTATAATATATTTTGTGAAATCTTGCAGCAAATGAGTATTTAGAACAATCAGATTCTGGAAAATGGATTGTTATCATAACAAGTGTTCTACTCTGTGTATTATTAGCAATATATATTGTAGCTTTAATGGTATATCGTATATATCATACTAATATGTTAGCAAGATTAGGAAAACCACTTTCCTATACTGATCAGTTTATGGATAGTACGGCACTAAGAACTGGTACTTACACAGTGGATCATTTGAAACTTACAACAATCGTAGGTATGTTTATTAATTAAAAGATTGCTTATTAATTAAAAGATTAAAGTATAATATAGAAATAAATATTAACACATAAATAATATACTACATTATGTAATTACAGGACAAGGGCGCTATGGATCTGTATGGCAAGGTAGTATGGGAGATCAAGATGTTGCTGTAAAAATATTTCCTTCTCATTATCGTAACTATTTCCAAAACGAACGAGATACTTATTGTCTTCCTTTTATGGAACACCCATCTCTTCTAACTTATTATGGTTAATATTCTCCTTGGTTTTTAAATAATATTCTATTATTTATTTAAATATTCGTAATTCATACCTAGGTGTTGATGAAAGAATCAGTATGGAAGGTAGTGTTGAGTATCTTTTAGTACTTAGTTTTGCACCAGATGGTACTTTAACAGATTTTTTGAGAACTCATACAATCGATTGGACCACATTTTGTAAAATGGGTCTTTCTATGGTAAAAGGACTTGCTTACTTACACACTGACATACATAAAGGTGGTAAGTAATCACGATAAAAATATTTTAGGACATAGTAAAGATTATTTTAAACTCGATGGAATTACAGATAAATCTAAACCGTGCATTGCACACAGAGACATTAATTCAAGGAATATATTAATCAAAGCTGATGGTACTTGTTGTATATGCGATTTAGGATTAGCAGTTCAAATTTCTGGTTCTAAATACTATTCAAACGGAGAAGCCCAACATGCTGAGATAAAATCAATCAACGATGTAAGACAATAGCTTAAGTATAAAGAATATAAAATAATTCAGATAATTTATAATTATATCTCTAAACCTTATATTAGGTTGGTACTTTGAGATATATGGCGCCAGAAATACTGGAAGGCGCTGTAAATTTACGAGATTGTGAAAGCTCTTTAAAACAAATAGATGTTTATGCAATGGGCTTAGTCTTATGGGAATTAGTTTCGAGATGCACAGATATTTATGTATTAGGCTCAGAAGTACCCCCTTATAGACAACCATATGAAAAAGAAATTGGTCTTCATCCAACATTTGAACAAATGCAAGTTCTAGTTTCTCGCAATAAAGCAAGACCTTTATTAGAAGGTAATTTAGTGGACAGGCCTGGAGTACGTTTAATTAAAGAAACGATGGAAGATTGTTGGGATGCAGATGCAGAAGCTCGATTAACTGCTTTATGTATAGAAGAACGCCTTTCGGAATTACAATCTCATCGAGGTAAATTTTGTTACATGATATATATTTAAAAAAAAAAAAAATGCTAAAATAAAATAAAAAAAGAAATAATTTACAAATTTACAGTAACAATGCATTTCACTGATGGAAGTCCAATGGTAAATTCTCATTGTACTTTAGTGCCTTCAACTACAAACAGCCTTTATAACGAATCTTCACATCACGACAATGTTCACATCACTCAATTTGCATCGCACGCAATGCAAGATGGTTCAAGTAATGAAGGTGGTATTGTTGAAAATTTGGTAACATTATCACCTTCTGAAAGTATTGTCCACGAGCATAGTTGTAAGTATTTTATTACTACTGCAATACAAATTTAAAAATTTATTGAATCCGATACACGTAATTCTTTGTTATATTTTAGTTAAAAATTCAAATGAAGTAGCAATATATAATCACACTCAAACACTTCAACCTTATCAAGGACGAAATCCTTGTATGGAAAGAAATTTAATGTTACAGTCAGATTCACTTGAAGATTTAGGGTGTAATGGTAATGTACTCGTTGATAAATCTATGAAACATACATGTAATGATCAGTACAGAATCGTATCAGAAGCACAAGGACTTGTTTCTCATGATTATCTGAGTCAACACACAACGCAATTAGCTCAATTAAGACCAGCTACACCTATACCATACGTTCAAAATGTTATTTCAGATGATGGTACATCATCGTATGGTAAAAGAAAACAGACAAATGTACATGAAATTTGTTCGCAAGATAGTCCCAGAAAAAAATTGTTCGGATGGTCAAATTTTAAAAAATTGCTTGTCAACAAAAAGATGTATCCGTACAAATATCAAATAGATCGAGAGGATTCTAAATCTAATTTATTGTCGAAACAGAACGTACAGATCAAAACTGTAGAAACTAATGTAACAATATCTCCAGCAGGGAAATATGTAAATGGTATTATTACAAAAACGCCTACTTTTACTCCTGCGTTAGATAAAAATGATAAGAATGCTATACAAATTGGTAAACAGAAATTTGATCACGATAATACAAATGCTCGACCTTCTACTTTACCTCTCGTAAATTTAAGAAATAAAAAAAGTGAGAATATAAGTAGGCAGGAAAGCATCGATAAATTCAACGAAGTTTTTAACGTGGGATCCAATGTAAATGTATTAAAAGATCCGCATATGAGGATAAAAACGCCCGGAGATTTACCACCTTCCGTACGGAAAATACGCGGTCGTGGACAATCAACTGCTAGATTTTCTCTTTATGATGATCGTATGATGTGCAATATTCTAACCGAAGAAGACGACCGAAATGATAAAGCAATTTGGAATTCGGTACCATTTGGTATGGATCTTAGTGACAGCGATGACAAACATTCACCAACTAAATTTAATACTAAAAATGTTACTTGCTTTTAATCGAAGTATAGTATTAAAGTATTTGTAAAGATTTTAGAAATAAGCATAAACAGGGCTGTATTATAACAGCTTCAACATATATATGTACAGAAAAACATACGTAAATAAGTCAGATTTTTTACTCTTAATGGAAATGCATTATGAAATTTAAAATATTTAAAAAAGAAGGAAAAACAAATAAAAAATATGTACTCAAATAATATTAAGGTATTAAAGGGGCTATTTAATAATTTATATTAATTACTTAATCCTTACAAGTATATTTTATGCTTAAAGGATCATTTTGCAAAGCAAATATCTATTCATAAATGTTATATCAGTGTTAACATCAATGTTTCGTATGTTCAAACTAGTGACAAAAAATTCATTAGAAATGTATTTTGATAAATATAGTAAGTGTACGTTATAATCTGCATTGCCAGTTATCATATTTATAATTTTTATGAATTATACACAATTACTGGAAAATTGGAAATTAAAAAAATTGATGTTATTTATTTATAAAAAAATATACAATAAGACAATTCTTAATGTAAAAATTTTTAAATTGTACTTAAATCTGATCTATGTAACCGTTAAAGTGAATGACACATGTCTCAGCATTAGGAAAGAGATTATAAATTCATACATTTTGATGCATAACTTTTTTTCTCTGTAAACCTTTTATGTGTTTAAAAAAAAAAATTATAATATATATGCATCTCAGCATATAATTACATAAAATAAAAGCAATGTAAAAATTTGAATGAAAATTGCAGTTGCCGAAGTGCAAAATTTTATTAAAATAATTATTTTCCATGAGCTCAATGTAAATATTTGTAGCATATAAACATTTTAATATATGAATTAAATAAGCTTTTTACATTTCATTTTAATAAAATTACAATCATATGTTTACAATGTGCATTATTTATATTAAGATAAATCATATAACGACGATGTGAAAAAATAATAAAATATGTAATTCTATGAAAGATAATAAAAAGAATTTTCCCTAGAATTATTTTTTAATTTCACGTTATATACTTATAATACAGAGATATCTGTGTTTAAATCAGAACGAGATATATACCTCGATTGTGCCTGCGGTCACAGACAAGGTATATGAATAGATATTGCATCCAATGTATCTTTTCGGCTAGGATAATAAGATCCTCAGGATCTTATCACTTTCATATTATATTCTGTACCGATTTCACGACCACAGCATTACAGTAGTGAAAATTAAAATTAAAAAAATATGAATAGTGTTGCCAGATCTGTTTCGAGAATTATTTATTGAATTGAATGATACTTCATCAATGAAGGAAAATATAAACAACGACTAATGGAAATTGGAATGAAAAATTTAGTAGATATTTGAGTATTGACACCTATTTCTGTACAAAGACACGTTTATTGAACTTGGGAGGAAATTGGGAATCCCTCA